GCCCCCTCACCTGTGTGCCCCCGACTACCCACTACATAATTATATTCCTTCCGTCCTCGTCCACTTTAGCCTCCACCGCCTCGACGAGAGCGTCCTCCCTCCTGACCGACGGGGGCAAAGCGCCAATCCTGGGATGTGGCAAACGCTACAGCGGGAACTGGATATACACCAACCATAGAACACATCAAAGCAGGAAGTCCGTGTCTGTACGTGTGGAAAATCCAGATTCGAGAAAGCCGATGGCACCGCAGGGAGAGAGGACAGCAGTATCATGCTCGAGCAGCTGTGGGAGAGAAAGCAGGCGCAACGTTGTATTCCAGCGCATGCTGGGGCTCAGCTCAGCTCATGCCTGGCAGCTTGGCACGCGTGGGGTCACGGGCAAATGTTGTGAGCGGGCTGACAGATCTTCCATGAGCGCATCAAGTGCGCATCCAGTAGAATGGGCGCCTCCATCGCGTCTGCATTGGCGAATACTGAGCGCTCACCCGCAGGGCCTCGTCGCTATCGGAGTGGACAGCGCGTTGGTCGAGGAGGCCCGCCACCAGCGTCTGATGTCACATGCTCTTCTGCTGCGCGGCACCTTGCAGCATTTTCTCTGGCCAGTCGATCGTCATTTACAGTGGACGCCGATGCAGAGAAACACCATGGTCGCCTCCAGGGTGTCCTGAGTTTACTGTGCGTCGATGGTTCTGCTATTGGAAACGCGACGTTCCCCCACTAAAAATCAATGGACGTCGGGTCCTAGGGTTGGGGTTCTTGTGGAAGGTTTCTTGTGGTCGAGCTCCTACTGCATGTGACCCACCTCCACTGGAAGAGGGAGAAGGGAACAGGCGGAGGGGGCCCCACCCTGGCGGGGGAGGGGAACAGGCGGACGGGGCCTTGCCCGTACACACCCGGTGGCCGCTGGCGGCCCCTGGAGGCCCACAGAGGTTCAAGACTGCTCCATGCCTTCGACCCTCCTCCATCATCATTTCACTCCTCCTCCTCCTCCTTCTCCTCTTCCTCCTTTCTTCACTTCCTCCTCTTCATCCCCCTCCCCCTCCTTATTCCTACCTCCCTCCTCCTGTTCCTGTTCCCCCCCCCTCTCTTCTGGAGGTGGAAACGCACTGCTCGCAGTGCTTCCCTCGCCCCGGCAGCCAAGCGGACGCGGGACACCACAAGTGTCGACTGATACGGAAACGCAGGCTGGCGAGGGGTACGCCACGAATGAGAAGCTGCCCTGCCAGCATAACGAGGAGCAGGAGGAGAAAGTGCAGCACGACGAGCACGAAGAACACCATGCACTGCGAAGAAGAGGACGAGGTGCCAGAGGCTGTTCTCCAATCTCAGCCTCGGGGGGCCCCTGCTTCGGGCTGGGGGGCAATCAGAAAGTCAAACCAGGACGAGAAGATTGCCAGGATGGACCCCGCGTGGGGTCGGGGGACACATTTTGAGTGGACAGCGGCCGTCAGGAACGGCGGAAAATTGGAAAGCTAGAAAGCAGGAGGCTGGAAAGCGAAGAGCCAGAGTTTTGAGTACGGAAAGTTCACAGCTTGTAAGCGGACGAGGGGGGAAATTGGAAGTGAGACGCTGCAAGGTTGAAAGCGGAAAGTCGGAAAGCAGAAGGTTGGAGAGTGGAGCGTTGGACAGTTGAGAGTTGGAAATACGGAAGTTGCACGCTGCAACGGTTGAGAGCAGGGAGTTTGAATGCTGGGATGTTGAAATCTCGTAAATGGAAGAACGTAAGAAGTGAGGGCAGACACTGGACAGCCAAAAGTGTACAGGCGGAAAGCGGGAAGCTGCAAAATCGACATTTGGAAATTGGGCAGTTGGAAAGATGGGAAGTTGTTGAAAGCGGGGATCGGTTCATGACGGGAACCGTCGACTTCTAATTGCTCATTCATTACCGATCCGGGCCTCGGTGCCCCAATGTGCCCCGGAAAGGTCGGGTTTGCCATCGGGGACGTCTTGCCGATCTTTCCGCAATCTATCTCCCATTGCAGATCAATGTTACCCCCCGGCCAGTATCCCCCTTTTCGCTCTACCTCAGCTTGGAGAAGGAAGATGAGGAGAGGCGCTCCGTTCAAGTCTCGTGGGCTGCAGACTGAATGGGGGCGCCGTGCAGCATGTTTTGCTCGCGCGACGGTGGGCTTGTAATTCCGTGGCGTGTGAGGTGTTCCAGAAAGGGCCTCGCGTTCGAGGATCGGGCCGGGCGAAAGGGGGGGATTGGGAAAGGGGGGGTTACGAAATTTGCTGCATGCAGCTGGTTTCGGCCTCACCGAGGGGCCCATTCCTCGATACATGGCCGCCTCCGGCGCCGGGAGGCGCCGGGAAAATCAGCTACGTGAGCTGATTCTCAACCCCCCCCCTTTGCTATCCCCCCCTTTCGCCCGACCCGAGAGGATCGAAGGAGTCGGCATCTCCTTCCTCTGCGGAGGGTCGGCGGAGGGTCGGCGGAGGGCGGCAGAGGCAGAACGAGGGGCGTCGGAAGCTGCCCGGAGGGCCGGCGGAAGGCTGGCGGAAGTGAAGAGGTGAGCCCCTAAGGGATGAGAACCTCTTGGGTTCGCTCAGGGCTTCGGGAACCCGCCACGTGCATCGAGGAGACGCAAGCATCGGGGGCGGCAAAGAGGGGGGTGATGACTAGGGGGGGGGGGGGTCATGGCGGGGGCCATGATATTTCCCCAGTTTTCATGGCGCCTCTTCTTATTTCATCACGTCCCTGGCCCCCCCGCTGGGCCGCGCACATGCCGCCCGTCATGATTTGCCCCCCCCCTCTTGGACACCCCCCTCTTGGCCGCTCCCGAAAACGTGTATGAAGGAGCGTGGATGAGAGACGCGCCCCGCTGCCATTCTAAACCGGCGCGCCCTGTGGCCAACTCAGGCGGCATTGGCGCCCAAAATTGCCTCGCCGAGCGCCTGGACAGTGCCGTTCACCTTCAGCTCCTCGTCCACTTCTTCACTCAGGAGGGGAAAAAACACACAGACACTATTAATCGTCGATTCCCAGGAAAATATGGGAAACTATGGGAAGTGGGGGGGGAGACAAAAATCCAGAAAATATGGAAAAATATGGGGAATCATTTTATTTGTGTGTATTTATTTGCGTGTCCTTGGGCCCCTTGATTCACCCCCGTCCTCGTAAATCCGGGCCTCGACCTCTGTCGCGCACTCAAAGAAGGAATAGGGCTTGCCTGTCCCTTCAGAGCGCGTCCTGAGGTCGAGACTCCTGGCGCGCGAGAGCCCGCTCCGCGCCTGTAGTGGCTCAACCTATTCTCGACCTAGGCCAGATCCGAATCTCTCATCACAGCTCAGCAGATCTTCAGAATCGTCTTCTCGAACTCGGAGTCCTCCACGCAATCAACTCCAGCTCGTGGCTGCGAGCTCTCGCAGCTTCGAGACCGATCCGCGGACTCTATTTTCCTGGTCGGTCTCGCGGATTTGGTCCAGACTCAGTTCTCCTTCTTCCGGTCCTTTACCGGCTGCCTCCGCCTCCGCGGCGTTCTGCTGACGGACAGCTTCCCCAGCCTGTGCAGTCAGGCACGGGGGTGTTCCCTCCGAAAACCGGCTCGACTCCCCGTCCCTGTTGACATCGACCCAGCCATGGTTCTGCAGCTCCCTCCTCGCGCTGGGCAGACCAGCCGTCATCTCCATCGGGCATTCGGCGACCCCTTGGCCGTGCCGCTGATTGGCTTGTCTCACCAGCCGCCGGCGCGGCTGCCGATCCCGCGGCCGCTCCCAGGGGTCCTCTAGCTCTGGGCTGTCCTGGCCAGCCCCAATGTGCAAGGGGCGCCCTCGAGGGCGCGAAGTTGTTCGCGCTTCGCGCTTCGGCTCCGATTCCTCCTCATCCTCCTCTTTCTTCTCCCCTGGGAGGCGGCGCGAGAGCGCGAAGTTATTCGCACTTCGCGCTTCGCGCAGCGCCAAGCGCGAAGTCGGAAGCCCTTGAGGTGGCTGCTCCGGTCACGAGCGACGACTTCGGGCATCGCTGCTGCAGCCCGGTCGCTCCTTTGGCCGTCGACTGGGCAGGGCAGAAGGCATCGACCATCGCAGGCGTCACGTACCGGCGTGCTTCTCCTGCGTGAACGGTTTCGAACCTCTTTTGATCTTTGGCCATCTACCTCCCAGCCAGCTCTCTGAAGTCGCCGGCGAGTTTCATTTTGCCTGGAATGACCATCTCATCTGTAGTCACCCGTTCGCGGAGCGCTTGTTGCTGCTCCGCTTTCATCTGTTCTAATTTCATTTCTGCGAGTTTCCGGGTCAGATGGAGGATCGCGTTCACTGAATTTTAGAGGTTTGACGGTCCTCCAATCCTTCTCCAGCGGCTCATCCTTTCCTCAGCAAGGTCTTCAAATTTCCCAGCCTGCAGGAGTTCCAGGTCATCCTCGGCTACTTCTTCCGTGGTCTGACCCTCGGGCAGGCGGTTGTAGTCTGGAGCAGCAGCTCCCTCTGGGGGAATGTCTACACGGGCGTCTCCTGCGATCTCGTTGATCTCCGTGGCCAGTTCACTCAGGCGCTCGTGCAGCAGGCCCTTGCCTTGCTTGAGACAGCTGAGCTCCATGATCGTCGGGGAAGATTCCGACGCTCGGCCTGAGCTGTCGTGCTCCGCTTCTGGCGAGCGGCCCGCCCGATCCGCCTGGCTCCACCCCTGTGAGTGATGCGGGAGGGCCCCGGAAGAGTCCGGCCCCGTGAGCACGGCCGGCCGAGGAGCTCTGATCGGCACGCATGACCCGCAAGGCCGGCCGAGTGGCCGAGTGGCAGGGCTCGCTGCCTTGGCACTCGCTGGGCGACCTGTGGTGGGGCCCGCCTCGGGTGCTCCCCGATCCTGCTGCTCGAGGTTCGAGTATGGGATCGACTACAGAATTGGTTGGTCAAGAGGGGAAAAAACACACAGACACAATTAATCGTCGATTCCCGATCCTGCTTCCCGAGATTCGAGTAGGGTTAAGTCGGGCCCGTCCCTCTACAGGGGGAATGTGCAAGAAATAGTGAAAAAATAGTCTGGGGACTATTTTTTGAGTAGTTTT